TGGCCCCCCCCCCCCGCAAGAGATCATAATAGGACAGTGTCCTATTATGGCTCTTGACTGTCATTTATTGTTGAAAATTTCCATTTTTAATCGAGAAAATGTTATATTTCTTATATTACTTAATGTTCTATCAAAAATATTTTGAAATACATTTTATATCTGGAGAGAGACATATTTTTTTATTATAATTATTTGCGATGGCAATATCAGTGGTAATGATGACTGTGTAGAAAGCAAGCTCATTCCTATTTGATTTGTTGTATTAAGAAATATAAAACAGTTATTTTCAAATAAAAGTACTGAAGCACAAATTAAGAATTTAATTCTCTGAATGAATTGTTTGAATTGTTTTATGTTTCCTTCCCCCCCTCCCCCACCCCTTATCCTATACCGAGTCTAAATGCTATGCATGTCCCTTCCTCTGCAAGAATTTTTTTTAACGTATGGCACCGCTCGCAGGACTGATTTTTTTTAAGGCAAGTTTCCCTTGTAGGAATTTTTTGGGGGAATTGTCACCCCACCTCCGGTTATTTCTAATGGTCCGTCCCTAATTAAAAGTGGCGGACAACAGCCTTCTGTTTTCGGTTTTGTTTTTGCTTTTTTCCAGTTTTGTTAGGTGAATCGTTTCGATAGAAACAAAGGAAGGTGTGTAAAACGGTAAAGGTCTCTTATTTTCCCGCCCCCATCATCCGATCAGTTGTCTTTCTCGCTCATAAATTAAATAATGAAACTTAACTTTTAGTATGTTATTTACGCTCGGAAAATTAATGTGCGTAACGCAAGTCAAAATTTCGCGACAGCTGTTGCTGCGTTTTCCTGGTCTTTTAATAGAGTCATTATAGAGAAATTCGTCGTGATCAAAAATTCCAAATATGTCACGAAATGAAGGGAATTTATAATATTTGAAACAACGGTCTTTTAGATAAACCAAGTGACTCAAACGTAAACTACAATGGTTGCGAATTTCTCTGATGAATTGCCGTGCGTGACACGGGAAAACTTCGTGACGGCGTTTGGTTTCGAAATCTTTCTCGGAATCGAAACCGAAGCACATGGAAATAGAACTCGTCCAAGGGGGATTTTGCAATCACCGAGGAACGATGGAAACTTTTCTTCGTGTTTTCCAAGTTATTTTGCTGCTGTTTGTTGCTGTTCAGCTGGCGGACGCCTTCAACAAGACAATTTACGTTTCACCAAAAGGCAAAGATAAACAATCTTGGGGAAGTAGCGATTCGCCGTGCCATACACTAGATTACGCGATCTCAAGCGCTCGCCAAACTGGGGCAAATTCCACGCAGATATCAGCAGCTAGAGGTAGTTACAAGCTGACGAATAGCTTCAGTTTTAAACACTTAAACAACTTTGGACTGTCAGGACAAGGAACAAAACCAGACGATGTAGAAATAATTTGCAAAGGCAACGCAAGTCTGTCATTTGTTCTTAGCAACAATATATTCGTGAAAGGAGTCACGTTACAGAATTGTGGTGGATGGCGCCCTAGCTCGGTCAGTGCTCCAAAGCCTTACACCGGGCTAGATGGAGTTAAATTCCGTGTTGCTTTGGATTTTCGATATTGCAGGAATGTTCAGCTATTTAACGTCAAAATTTCGTTGTCTCCAGGGCTTGGTGTTAACTTTTACGATGTTGGTGGTGTTGTAAATTTTACAAATTGTGTCTTTGCTGACAACAGAGCTGCGAATGACAACGGAAGCAAAGCAAATACTCAGAGAAAATCGAATGAAGAAGGGTTGCACACCAAACAGATAGAAAGAGTGTACTCAGGAGGAGGTATATACTTGGCTTTAGATCCCTATGGCCGCAACACTGTCAACATCACTCGAAGCGAACACGACTCGTATCAGCACAACAACACATTTGTCTTCCAAAATTGCAGTTTTCTCAGAAACGAGGCTGGGTGGTCGAATGCAAGTATTGCAGCTGAATTCGTTGACACACCAGAACTACCCTTTAGTCGTGGCGGTGGCTTGGCAATTTTTTTTCGTTCAAATGCCAGCGGATCGACCATCAGTATAGATTCTTGCCTTTTCAGTGAAAATCGAGCCAGCTGGGGTGGAGGTGTGAATGTTTGGATGGGCGAAAAAACACAAAATAACCGTCTCGCGGTAGAAAACACAAAGTTCGAGAACAATAAGGGGTATCAAGCTGGCGGTGGTGTACGGATGAGTAATTTAATAAAAGAAACCCAACAACTTCTCAATTTATTTACGGTAAACAACTGCTTATTTGTAAACAATACTTCTGTTTGGGGTGGTGCTACATCAATTTTCGGATCGTCAATACCGGGAAAGTGTGCCAAGCATACAGATGCTGATTTAACTCTGTTTTCTTTTAATCGGTGCCGGTGGACTGGCAACACAGGGACCGTGGGTGCAGCTCTTGGAGCCTTTCTTAAAAACCAGAACGAAGATCAGATTGGTCCACAGGCTCCATACCATACAAGCTTTGATGGATGCACCTTTCTAAGCAATCGTGTGCTCCGATTAAAGGTCCTTGTGGCAATTGGAGAAGGGACACTCTATAGCGTTGAAGTGCCTCTTATTTTCCGTGGAAATGTGAGCTTTCTGGATAATTCTAAGACAGCTGTTGCTTTAGATGGGGCGACAGTAGAAATTTACGATCATGTTTACTTCATCAACAATGTAGGATTGAGAGGAGGCGCCATGGCCATGTACGGACGTTCCAGAATTATTTTTAACAAACACTCGTACGTACTTTTTCAAGGGAACAAGTGTGATACCGGTGGCCAAGGAGGTGCTTTATATATTGATGCTCCCGGGCCTCCACTGGTCGGTTTTAACGCAACAGGGACAAACACTCATGGCTGTTTCTTTGCTTACGCGCTTCCTTCATTAGATTTTGATGACTGGGAAACAAAGGTGATCTTTCGGGGAAACCAAGCTCCGTTTTCGTCTGGGAATTCAGTCTTTGTCACGACATTGAGAGGCTGTCGGCGAATCGGTGAACCTCGGCAAAATAACTCCGTTCTTCGATGGAAATTTGTTGAATTTCAGGACCAGTATGGCAAACGTAGCTCTTTAAAGAACGAGGTCGCCACAGACCCTGTAGACATACAGTATGACACTGCAGAATGGAACGTTGCCCCTAGTGAACGTTTCAATGCCACTGTACGACTTCTAGACGAGCTCGGTAATTCTGTCGTGGGCATCATTAATGTGGAAGTCATTCCTCTCCATCAGTCATCCAAGGTCAGTCTTTACTCTGCTTCGAGCATGTTCGTTGCAAATGATACCATTTCCCATCTCGCGATGGCTGGAAAATCGGGAGAAAAATTCTCGGTAGAGCTGAAATATATGGGGAAGCAAATTTTAACGCAAACTATATCTGGTCTTTCACTTAAGCCCTGCAATCTTGGTTTTAAGCAAAAAGGCTCGTTATGTGTGTGCAGGGACTCTACAGAGCGTGGTATCTCTAGGTGCAAATCGGACGGAAAGACATTTTATCTGAAACATGGTTACTGGGCAGGGACAGTCAATAACAAATTCGTCACTCACTTTTGCCCTACTGGATACTGCAAGACCGTGACTCGTGCGCGTGAAATAAAGTTTGTTTCTGGTGATGTGTGCAGTGACGACAGGGATCAGACAAGTATACTTTGCGGAAAATGTAAAGCCAATCGCGCTGTGCTTTTGGGAGGCGAACATTGTTCCGCTACGTGCTCCAACTGGTACTTGCTACTGTTGCTTTTATATGGACTGATCCTTATTGCCGTAGTTATGTTTATCATGCTGATAGATCTTGATTTCTTCACGGGATATTTGAATGCCTGGCTGTATGCGTATCAGGTCATGAAGGTAATAACTCCCGATGGATTTGCATTCGATCCCTTTATAGAGTTCATCATTGGTCTGGCCAATTTCCAGTTCAAAACAGGTTCAGGTGGAATCTGTTTTGCCGCAGGGTTAGACGACGCAGATAAGTTGGCGATAATGTATGTGTTACCGACGTACGTCCTGGTGGTGGCAGTTTTGTTAGCCCAAGCTGTAAGCTACCATCCCAACTGGTGCTTTAGCAAGAAAGTTAGAGCCGCTCCTATTCGCGCCGTCTGCACCATCGTTGTGCTTTGCTACACTGACATAACAAGAATTTCACTCCGAATCCTGAATCCCGCTTCGGTTGGATCGAAAATTGTGATGTATTCACAGGGCAACATCGGCTTCTTCACTGGAAAACACATTGCTTACGGAATCTTGGCCATCCTGTTTATCGTATTGTTCGTGGTGCCGTTTCCAATGGTTCTTCTTTTTCGACCCTTCCTGACGCAGCGTCTCCGCCCGGTACTAAATCTCAACCGGTGGAAGCCGATATTTGATGCCTTACAAAATTGCTTCAAGGATCGGTATCGTTGGTGTGCTGCCTTCTATTTTCTCGCCCGACTTGTCATTTATGCCATTGCAACGCTAGTGTCTTCAGGTCCAGTTAAGAGAGCACTGCTGGAGAGTTGCTGTGTTTTGATTCTTCTCATTATTGCGTTCTTGAGGCCTTACAAGGAAGCCAAAGACGTGAAGGAAGATGAGGAGAGTTACGATTGGATTAATAAGTCAGATGCAGCCCTCCTGTTTACCCTCACACTAATCGCCTTGTTCAGCTCTCCTTTTGATGGCATGTTCAAGAGCACTTGGTCAGGCTTGCGGGTGTTCGTTGATATATTGGCTTATATTCCTTTGTTAGTGTTGGGAATGGTTGCCATTAGAATTATTAGAAAATACCGCGAAGCCAAAAAGCTTCGAGAGGCAAATGAGCCTGAACTCTCTGTCAGTGAGCTGTCCGAAGTCACTGACGACATTGTTGCGCTGGGAAATCAGGCCTGATAGCAGCCAGCTTACACAAACTCGTCCCCAGGAAAAGTACAAACGTTCAAGAAGATATCATGTGAGACTTTTTGGCATCTGTTTTTCTCAACACAATATCGCAACATCGTCAGTTTACGTATTTCAAAGTCTGCTATGTTGGATTCAATTTAACGTTTTACGCAACCTCGTAATGCAGTAGCCTAATCCCAGTTACTTAATTTGAAGTGCTCAGATTTAGATTCCGGGTAGCTAAACCAAACATGTTTCGAAACATTTCATATGTACTGGTGTCATTTGGCTGATTCTCAGTTCAAGTCACAGGGGCGGATCTAGGGGGAGGGTGCAGGGGGTGCGCACCCCCCCCCCCCCCTGAGATGACCTGCGGGTTTTTAATACAACTGATATTCTGCAAAAAAAACTAAGTGGTTTATTGGTGTTTAAGTGGGGCAAGAGACGAGGGCACCCCCCCCAAAAAAAAATCCTGGTTCCCCCCCTGTTGTCATGGCCCAATTTTACGGTGTTGTTTTTTGATGTTGTTTAATTTTTTCCTTCTTATCGCCTCAAGTTCCCCCCCCCCCCCTCCTGACCTGCGGTTTTCTAATACAACTGGTATTCTGCAAAAAAAAAAAAACTATGCGGTTTATTGGTGTTGAAGTAGAGCAAGAGACGAGTGCACCCCCTCGTAAAAAAAAATGCTCGATCCGCCCCTGAGTCAAGCTGTAAAAGCCTCGGCTGGTTGGCTGGTTTTGTTTAAGGTGTTAAATGCCAATGTTTTTGTTCCAATTAATTGCGCAAACATTTTATATATAGGCCTGATTCTCAGATGTTTTAACATTTCTTAGGCACTGCAAACAAGAACATCAAGTTAAAGACATAGCTACTGAAGCTCAGTGTAAAAACCTGGTTGACTGGCTTCGTAAGAAGTTAACAAGGAAATATGCAAATGTTTTTGTTCCAAATTAATTGCTCAAGCAGCTGCACAACGTAACGCTGTGCATGTCTGATTGTTTTGTGTTTATGTCAGCGAGAGTCCCCAATAGCTTTTAATATTTCGGGATCCGGGATTTGCCTTATTTGAGGGCCGGGATTCGGAATTTCAAAGCAAAGTAGGGGTGAGATTCGGGATTGAAAGTATGCAAGAGATGCGGGATACCGAAAATAACCACTGAGATTACGGGATTGAGTAAAAATTTAGGTCGGAATTAAGGGATCAAAGAATCCTATTGGAGATCCTCGTTTACGCTTACGAAAAAGTAGAATGATTTGGCTTTTTGAGCATAAAGCATTAAAGAAGTAAAGATTAATAAAACTTGAAAGCTTGTTTTACATTGTCATTATGACAGAAAACATAAAGGACAGGGTTTTTGGGCAATCGAACATAAGAAAGTATAGCTGCTTGGGTTTTTCGCGGGCTGCCACAAATGTACCGCGCTCTCTCGTTCCCAAAGAGATATAGGAAAAAAGGTTGACTTCCACTGACGCGTTTTGGCAAAACACGTTAACGCACGTAAATTTTTATCACGTAAATAAAATAGAGGCAAGATAAAAAGTGCTGAGCTTAAACGAGAAGTTGAGCGAGGTTCAACTTTTACGCTTACGAGCGACCTTTCATGCATTACCTCTATTTTATTTGCGAACGTAAATTTTACGCACGTAAAAATTACGCCACACTGGAAATCAACCCCAAAGTTAAACTACGAGTAGTCGCCCATCTTTCCTCAGGGATAGTAGAGCGAGCGAAACGCGAGCGCGCGTGTAAGTTACCCCACGCGAAAAAAGACGACACGCCTCTTCTCTCTCCCCACCGGGTGTCGCCTATTCTCGCGTGGGGTGATCTTCACGAACTCCTGCGTTTCGGCCGCTGTACTGTCCTTGAGGAAAAATGGGGGACTACTCGTCGTCTACCCTTAAAGAAATAGTTAGAAACCGAAAGAAGGAACCAATGACGTGAAAAGAGAGAGAGAGATAGAGAGAGATAAAATCAAAGGACTTAGTCTAAGTCCCGTTCATAAAATCGAACTGAATCAAATCCACTCTTTATTAACCCATTACTGAGCCCTAAGAGTGATCAGCATCAAATTTCTCCTTGTAATATCAATGCAGAGTGATCATGAGAATGACCGACAGATCACACAAGACGAATTTGCTTGATATTTTATCAACCTCTCCCCACTACTTCTGTAGGAAATGAATAGGGACAACAAATGAGAATTCAAATTTTGATCTTAGGGTATTACCTGGCAGAACCGGCCGGGTTCTTTTAGTTAAATTGCTGACTTTTTCAGGGATTCGATTTACGGGACAGAACCAACATTTAGGGTCTTAAAATAACTGACTAATAGAGATACTCCTTTTGCACTGCAAGCGGCTAGACCTTCGCGTGGCTCGGATGACCACGTAAAATGTCGGTCCCGTCTCCAGTTGGAGACGTAAAAATAGTGTCCTCAATTAGTACTTTCGTGCTAAATACATTGACAAAATCTTTTTAAAAAGTGCCCTAAAAAAAAAATGGCGAAGGTTTGAGAACGAAATGAAATTTCACGTTGATTTAAACAAGAATAATTGTCATCATTTAAAAGTGATTTCCTCTGATATGTAAGACACAGGGGGTTAATTAAAAATGAAATCGAAAGTACTTTAATTTTTGGATTTTCATCTTCTTGTGTTTAAGATATACTCAAATGGAGATCAGCGAAACAGATCACATCGTTCAGTTTTGATGCTATTTGTAACGTTTTATTCCAGTTCTAAACAATAAAGTTAGGTGACAATCGTTATTTTTGCTTGGAAACATAAACTTGAACTTTCTGAGGAGTGCAGGCTTCATGAAGACAGTAGATTGGGGGAACCTTAGGTCCCTTTGCAATGCTCAAAAGATTTTGCTTTAATGTGGTCACGATCTCAGAATGAGTCTGATTGCCATTGAAGAAAAACTCCTTGAATCCATTTTTTTTCTGCCTCGAAGGACCGGCTCCACCTGAAAATTGAAGAGAGACCCACATCATTTAGTTGATCCTACCTGTCCCTTTATATAGTTAATTGTTCTAAGCTGCCGAAAATGCAGCTGTAACTTGCTTCACTGAGAAAGGTAGACTGCACTGTTAACATCTTATGATTACAGAATCTCCAAACAAAAAAAGACCCTTCACCGCCTATAAACAATTACAAGGAAACAACCATACTACTAAAATACAATAATGTCCAAGTATTCAAAGCTTTATCTTAAAGAGAGATGGGGTGAACATGTGCTAAATATCTAAACGTATTTTACAGCAGGTAAGAAATAATTGGAGGAAATGTAAAAAAGGTGTTGTAAGACTATGGTCTTCTCTATATACATGACGTATGGAAGGGCTAAGCAACCGCATTTTCTGGGTCCTCTTCGACTCGTCCCCTTCTCTCGCTCCGGGATACGAGGATGAGCGGACCCTGGAAACTACGCTGGGGGCCGGGTACAGAGAATGTCCCATATTTTCTTCTTGCTGACCATAGTACCTATCAAGAAATGAGATGAGTCTTAAGTAAGCTTTGTAAGTGTTAGAACTACACTATGAATCACTTACTGGAACAATTTGGCCAGGGAAGCTGATTGACTCTACGAAGAATTTCAGTCATCCAGAAACCAGGGCCAGCACAAATGTACAGCAAGGGTGGATTGAAGTTAAAATCGGTGCCATCTTTACAACCCACTTGACAGAATGAGGCAGAGCCATCGGCGTCACGATTCAGGCAAACTAGAGCACCATTCCCAGGAGCGTCGTACATCGGGCATTTGGGCACTAGAACAATAAATGACCGGATGGACCATTAGAAAAGTAATTGAGGGGGTGGGGCAAAAGCAAAAAAAAAAAATTTCCTCAGGAAATTATTAATAAAAAATTGTATTCCTACGGATTCTAGCCAAAAAAATATATCCCTAAGGAAGAAAAAAAAATATTTGCACCTCACATGTACAAAAAAAATCTTGCATCTCTTAAAATCCGCCCCCCGCCCCATCACTTTTCTAAAGATTAGGATCATTATACGTTTCTTGGAAACTGCCCACCTACCCCTCCCCTAAGACAGCATTATAATACTTACTTCTCACTTAGGTCAAAATGTTGGATTAGGGGAAGGGTAGGTGGGCAGTTACCCAGAAAAGTATAATGACCAAATATTACCATGATAAAACTCAAGGCTAAAGTTTTCATTTTTAAAGAATTATATCGGGGTTAGATTACGTCTGCGATACAGGTTACTCAGCCTGCGACCAAGCTCTCCATTTGGGGGATATCGTGAAAAGTAGACGCGCGAGAGGCACGCGAGAGGAGATGCGAAAACGGGGAGCGAGTTCTCGTGCGGCTCGCCCCAAATAGGAGAGCTTGCTCGCAGGCTTAAGGCTACCCAAAATATAACCTGACAGAAAGTGAAGGAAGAAATGCGTTGTTTCAATGAGTACTTTCTACTTAGTGTTAACCAGAACTTCAGTTTCCGTGTGGATAAACAAACGAGTAAAGTAATTAAATTCAGGAGCTTTTTTAATGGGATTTCACGAGGTTATATGTTGTAATGAGTCCTTGTCAATTGTATTAAGGGCGAGAAAAAAAATTCAAAATTAGTGCTTCCACTCCCTCGTCTTTTTAAGATTACTGACGTAATCTAAGACAGTCTTGGATTCTGGATACCATGCTGTGGATTTCGGGTTTCTTGAGTGGAACTTAGATTCCGAGTTCCAATCCATTAAATAAATTGGATTACGGTTTTCTTGAGCTGAATTACGGATTCAAAAAACCCTGCATTCCAGTTTCCACAAGCAAACGTTTCCCGGAATTTTCGGAATCCGGATCACTTAATTAGCTTTTCTAACTCCTGATGAAGACTAGTTTTGTCTAGTCGAAATAATGGGCAAATAAATTTATAACCCTTAGCTGTCCGATCAGCCTTGCCTTCAGTTTAAAGTGTTATTTTATACTGCTGATCCTGATCTACGACAAGATCCGGCTTTCCCTCGCTGGTGTTTGTCCAAGTGGTCCTTGCAAGAATTGTTCACTTAACATGAGGCGACTAAATTCAGTAAAGAGGGACCTTAAGCAGCGACGTTTTTGAGCGACTCCCGTCAACCGGAAGTGAGACCAACTTAAGGCAAGGGACACACATACACCAACCCACGGCCTGGCCAGTACTCACGCCGACCGGAAGTGAGCCTTTTTCTCTTTTGATATGCCTTGACGCTACCAAATTAGTATTGCATAGTGTCAGGCTTACTAAAGAGACGATTTGCCCACGAATTTGTAGAGCTCACAGAAGAGTGCTAAAAATCCACTTTCGGTTGATTCCGTCGCTCAAAAAAAAGTCGCTGCTTAATTAAAACCCCGAATAAACGGTAAACATAACTTACACGTGAGGGTTATATTAAATGAGCATCTCTTGTAAATGTCTCCTTTTTTGC